CTCTAGTCAGTGGGGTACTGGATCAAGCTATCTATACATTTCACAGGTGTTCAGACTGACTGGCCCACATCCCCAACTGCCAGCACCTTGCAAGAATGTTGTAAACTGGCCGTTACGGCTGGAACAAAAAGTCATAAATAAAACAAAGGATTGTTCCTTCTCCCGTTACTGAAAGAAACATTATTTCATCTTATAATAGTTATAAAAAGGTACAACAGGGTATTGTCTCACATTGCTTGTAAAGATATAAGACTGAATGCGCAGTTCTATATGCCATTTACAGACACTATTAAGTAACAAACCATATCTGTAGCCTTATTGGTCCTCATATATCAGATTGGTCTGTGATATTCAATAGCAGGGGGAAAAATTCACCAGCTGCCCCCCAGGATCAATTATAAACTTTCACCAACTTACCAAACATGGAAAGGACACCACACACTGTCCAGACAATCAAGGACATTCCCACACTGCCTGTGTTCTTTAGTATCCCTTTGGGAGAGATGAAGATTCCTGCTCCAATGATAGTGCCAATTATAATGGAAACCCCTCTTAAAAAAGTTACTTTCTTCTTCAGCACCACTTTTTCTTCCTGGGATGGCTTTTTACTGTCCAGAGAGGGCAACCTGCCAATAGATTGCCCCTGCAAATAGCTTCCATTAGAGACTGTGGAGAGAGCAGGTTTCCTGAACATGCTATAATGCCACCAACACAATTAAAAACAAAATAAAAAAGTTTCTAGCTAGCACCCAAGGTTTCTTCCTGGATCTTTGTGCTCTCTTTCTAATTGCTTTCACTCTTTCTCCTTTTTGTTACTTTTCAAGCTGCTGCTGCACCCAGGTATAACACTCTGAAGGTGTATTTTAAAATTCCCTGCTGTATAAATACTACTTAGTAACACCTGTCCTTTCACGTTGTTAGCTGGTGCTGCTCTCTCATTGGAAACCAGCTCAGCTTCCGCATGGACTTGTATTTAAGCTCCTTTCATACTAAGTTCTTCAGTTTTGCATCAGCCACAAGAAAAGGCTCTGGCATTACTCAGCATTTTCAGATGGTAACAGCATGTTGCACAACTGATTTGAGCGTCTTAGGAAGAACAAAGCTCTCACTTGAAAGGAAGCTTAACGAATCAGAAGGTAGTATATTACTGTCAACACCTCCCCCCCCCCCCCACCCACAGTCCCACCCCCCCCCCCCCCCCCCAAATATATTTAAAGCAACTTGTAGTTTGACACAAAAGCCTGTTTTTAAAACACAAAGATCTTTAGCCAGAAGGAAAAGAAAATCAAACAGAATGCGTCACATTTGGTTCTATTCCAATTTTTTTCCGACTCCTTTTAAGCTAACAAAGGTTTTGTGAGTTTCAACTTTTATTTCTGAGTTCTTTAGTTTTCCCCAAATCTATCCATTACATGTAAATTTACATCAAGACTACATACCTTTACATAAAGATTACATATAAGCCATTTGCTATCTTGTGTTGCCTAGCAACAGCCAAATCAGACTAGTAAAAATCCACTGTACAGTAATTCTCACATGTAACAGAGTTTCTGGGATGTTTGTAAGAAACTCAAAAATGAAAATACTCCTTCAAGCCAGGTAAGCCCTCTTGTTAACAATCACAGCAAATTCTTTCAAGATATGAGAGCAAGAGGTCTGCATTTCAGAGCACTGATTTGTCATGTAATAATGTCTCAAAGCAGAAACGTTATCTGATTTTCATGTCACCATAGTGTCTTCCTGAGTGGATTAACTAATCTGTGCTTAGATGAATTACTTGATTGCTAACTCAGCTACATCGCTTTTTTATATTTTGATTTAAAATCAAGTAACAATTTAAAAAAATCAGCTTCCACTAAAAAATCAGTAGTTCTTGAGCACTTACAACCTCATCTTGGGACAGCCGGTACAGTATATGCCACAGGAAAAAAAAATCCTATGTAGCAAAACTATCACAGCTGCTCATGGCTTTGGGGTCAATCAGCATAATGAGAAGTAGTTATTGCCTTGCATGTTCCTTTTGCAGTTATTGCTTCATTAGCTCTGAATAAGAGGAAAAAGATACTAGCTAAACGTTTTGTCATTTCAGAAGGCGGCACTGAGCTCTAAGCACAACTTCTGTGCTTTTAAGTGTATCTCAGACACAGTAAATATTAGAGCATCATAGCAGTGATGTTTATGGTGCTGCAGTAAAAGCTGAGTCAATGTTTTTAAAACCTCATATTTTCAGGGGTTATGACTTGCCTATAATAATTTGCAGAGTGATAAAACTAGGCATAAAAAGCCTGGCTGTTTTTAACATACAGAGAAACAAACAAAAATAGTTTTTTAGCATTGGATATATATTTGTAATGCTATAATATTTTTAAAGGGCTTATTCCTTCCTTCACACCCCTCCATCATGTATTCAACAGCAACTCATTTGATTTCTCTTCTGTTTTATACTTCTCATCAGCACATCACTGGGTAAGAGAATATTGCTTTCTATTAATGCATGAGGTAGAGGAATTCCTACAGAATAATTCATTATGGTCCCTCTACTAGCCATACATGCAACTCTACCAGCAATTGAAGCAAGTGACTTGAACTACAAGCCAAGCCAGATCAAAGAACTAGCCACTAACCTGTGCTGGCTTGAATACTTAAATTTAAAGGGGCTGTATACTGAACAATCACAAGGAGAGCTGGTCAGGAAATATTTAACAAAATGATTTTCAGCCAGAGCATATCATTTTACCAAAACTGAAACTTTCCTAGGGAATGTGTCAGTTTCAATGACACTTTTGTGAAGAATTGGTTTCCCAAGTCCAAAGTGGAATGTCTGGTCTAAATGAGAGAGAGAAAAAGCAGCCTAGAATAGCTAAGAGTCTGATGACTGGGAAAGTCACCTAAGATGTGGAAGACCTAGGCTACATCTACTCTGCAGCTCTTTCCGGGTATACTGGAGGTATTCCAGAAAAGCTATGCCGCGTCTAAGCAACGTATCAGCTTTTAAAAAAAAAAAAATCGGAAAAGCCAACACGTTCTTTCACCATCCCTATAAACCTCATTGTATGAGAAAGAAGGGATGTGCTGAAAGAGGAGGTTTTTCCAAAATCTGGCACGTGTAGATGCGCTAAATTTCAGAAAAGCCTCTTCCAAAAGAAAAACAAACCCCTGCCAAAGAAGCATTACACTGAAAATGTATTGAACAAAAATCAACTATAAATGTTGCATGTATTTGGCATGTCATTTCATGCAGTGTACGAAAGGGTGCTAAATTCTGGGCTTTTATAGTAACAACAACCTCGTGTAGGTACACATACTTCAGACTGGCCAATCAGACTGATTGGTTTAGATTTATTTTTAATTAAGCGTTCTGGTGCTTTTCTATTTTTCTTTTCCAAATCCTTCACTTTTGAAGACTTTCCAGTAACAGCATTTATAACTTTTATTAGATTCTGAGTTTCCCAAATGCTTATATCAGCATTTTGGGGTTATTAGAGCCAGAGTGATTTAGAGTAATTTATGGGATGAAAGTCAGCAAGTATGGCACACAGCCAGCCCCAGAGTAGAGGAGTATTTGAAGGAGTCTTAAAATCATGTTTCCATGCCTTCCCTGTCCAGTATATTCCTTAGCTGCAGCTGAGACTCTCCGACACTCTGTTCTTATATGTCCATACCTCACCTGCTACATTTTGAGGGCTCTTGTAATATAAACAATAACTAACAACAGCACCTCAGTGAGGACACAGAAGGTGAAGTTTGATTTTGAGTCTCTAAATTGGTCCAAGAAACAACCTGAGGGAATCAGGACAAGGCAGTGTTTCTTTGTCAATTTCGTTCACATACTTCCCAAATTGTAGAGTCCAAATTTCATTTTATATTTTTTTTTACACAATAACAAGATAGAGATGTCTCTTACTGCCCTGACTCTTGCCAGTTACATGATCTATAATTGAAGGAAGTACTTTTATATCATACTTCTGTCTCACTATCTGTACCGGCCTAGTGCATGTCCTAGGGAGGTCATATCTACTGGCATCCTGCAGGGGTCAATGCTGGGTTTGGTACTGTTCAATATCTTCATTAATTACCTTAATAATGGAATGGAGAATATGCTTATAAAATTTGCAGATGATACCAAATTGTACTTTGTAGGGCAGGATTAGAATTCAAAATGGCCTAGACAAATTGGAGAATCAGTCTGGGAGCAAGATGAAGTTCAGTAAAACAAGTGTAAATACTACAAGTGTAAAATACTTCCCTTTAGGAAGGAAAAAACAAATGCTCAACTGCAAATGTGGAATAATTGATAATACTACAAAAAAGGATCAGGGGATATAGTGGTTTACAAAATGGGTATGAACCAACAATGTGATGTAATTTAAAAAAAGACTAATATTATTCTGAGGTGCATTAACAGGAGTGTCAGAAGAAAGATATGGAAGGTAACCATCCTGTTCTACTCAGCACTAGTGAGACCTTTGGGCAGTACTATGTTCCGTTCTGGGAACTGCATGAGAAGAAAGATGTGGTCAAATTGGACAGAATCAAAATGATAAAAGGTTAAAAAACCTAACCTATGAAGAAAGATTTAAAAAATTGGGTAAGTTCAGCCTCATAAGCATTTCAACTCATACATAATACACATCTTTAAGAATATCTAAAAATCCTGAAATGTGAATCAAGTACTACTGTTGGACACCAATTTTTCTGGAAGTCTGGGTACTGCAAACTTCTTTTTCTAAATGTCCATGCCATGTACTCATACTGGGGCCACTATATGCCTATAAATAGTTCATGGTTCACCACCCCTCTGACGCCTCCTGCTGGACATTCTGGGAATTAGCTCCATCATTCTTTGGGATGGCCCCAGTTGGTGGTGCTTCACCACTGTCTCCCCCCACTGTCTTCACTGCCTCCACTATCTTGGCCCATGGCATTACTGAACCACAGAGTCCCCCCTGAGTACATCCCCTCTGGCAGCATCTCAGCCCCACTATCGCCTTCCCTTCTGGGGGGATGTGTGACTGACGCTCCTCGCTTGCCTCAGTGGCCAAATGCAGTCCTTATTTAGGCCAGTCTCCTGGGACATCCATCCCCCCACACCCCATGCTTTATGAAAACTGGCTTCTGAATATAAATGTACATAACTCAAAGATGCTTTAAACAAAACACCTCATGTAACCTATCAATTCTTATCTTACAATCTGTTGGATCTGTATATCCTATTTTGGTGCACGTGTCTTTCTTGTATGTGAAGTTAGGAATATGAAGTACGAGTCTGTTTATAGTTTTAAATGTGCTAATGAGAGCCATCAGTGGTGCCCCTGATGCCTAATGGCTTAGTGATCAACTCAACAACTTGTAAACAGTCTTGTTTTTTCCTGTAAGTCCAAGCAGTGGTTGGTTCTAGAAAGGCATATGACTATACTACCTGGTACTCAAACCTATTTTGAACCTTGTATTTTTCAATGGAAGAGGTGATGTAAAACAAAGGATTCCTACCCTGGGGGAAAGACTTTAAGCAATGGGATGCCATCAGCCCTTTTGTCTTTAGCTGGCTTTTGAAACTGACTGTTACACTCTAAGAAGAAACACAGAGCTTTGAAGGGTTGGAGACCCCACTAAGAGTAAAAGAGTTTGTTCAGGCCAGGAATCTAGGTCCACCTGCTACTCTTGGTCCTGGCCCAGGGACTCTACTGCTGGCAGCTACCTCTTCCCCTTCCTCCCATTCCT